CAAAATACCAATAAATAGTGTAGACAGCACTAAACATTTCATAAATACACAGTGCAGAATAACAGACCAGTGTCCTCACTTTATTTTGAGTATGTGCCAGCCACTGCAATTCCCGCAGAAGTGTGTTTGAAAGCTGGTACATTTTACAGGTACTGGGTTGGATCACCTTAGGTCTTCAAAACTGTCTTAATTCTTTGTGGCATTGATTCAACAAGGTGCTGAAAAATTCCGCAGAGGTTTTGTCAATATTAACATCACAGCATCACACAGCTGCTGCAGATTTGTCAGCTGTGGATCCATGATGCAAATCTGCAGTTCCACCACATTCGAAGGAGCTCCGATGGACTGAGATCTGGTGAATGTGGAGGCCATTTGAGTACAGTGAGCATACTGCAATATTCAAGAAACCAGTTTGAGATTATCTGAGTTTTGTGAAAAGACACATTATCCTGCGCGAAACATCAAGATGGACATGGTCAGCAGCAACACTCAGGTAGGGGGCCCAAAGTGTGTCAGCCTGAACTATTTATTTAAGGCAGGATGGAGACATGTTTTCATGTTGTTTAAACCAAATTCTAATACACCAGAAATTGAGGCTCATCGGACAATATTTTTCCATTCTTCTTTTGTCTTGCTTTGGTGAGCCTCTGCAAAATGTAGCCTCCCCTTCCTGTTCTTCGCTCACAGGAGCTCCACCCGATGTAGTCTTCTGCTGTTTTAGTCCAGCTGCTTGAAGGCACTGTGTGTTCAGAGATGCTCTTATGCATAATTTGGTTATAAAGACTGGTAATTGAGGTACTACTACCTTTTTATCAGTTTGAAGCAGACTGAGCGTTACTCTTTAACGTCTGGCATTAGAGAGACATTTTTTCACAGAAAACTGCAGCTCACTACATATCTTCTCTGTTTTAGACCATTCTCTATGGACCCTGAATGGTTGTGTGGGGAAATCCCAGTAGATCACAGTTTCTGAAATACACAGATCAGCCTATCTGGCACCTTTCTTCTTAATTCTGATGCTCTCTTTGTATTTCAGCAGGTCGTTTCTACCATGTCTATATGTCTCAGTACTTGTTACTACCACGTGAACGGCTAATTAGACATTTGTGTTAATGAGCAGTTGAACAGGTGGTCAGTGAGTGTCTTCACAACAATGATGCTAATATTGACTGTTCAATCATCAAAAAAGAATAAAAATTTTATTATTAAATCAGTCCAGCTCTTGCTTACAAGAACCAACCAGCTTATTGCATGTGTCTTATAGAGCTAGAAAAAGTAGGGTATATATATCATCATTTATACATTTTGATAGGTTATTATTTGTGATATCACCTGCATCTTTTTGGCAAAGTCCCTCTATGACTGACCATCTAGTTTAATTTTAAGCTTTTACCTCACTGGGCTTCATACTTATCCTAGGTGCTGGTGGTTTATCATTGACCCTTGGCAGTGTTTGTGTTGTAGCTGTCTGTCTTGCAGCTGTTGTGTTCTGGTTTCACTGGTCATCAGTCGTTTTTGTCCAATGACTGTGCATCACATAGCCACCTCCTTGGGTGTCTTTGGCACTGGGATGGCAGAATCATAATTATCTTCGATGCACCATAAAATCTGAAATTTAAATAGTGCACACGCTTCCAAAAGAAACTGCAACTATTAAAACAGTTGTTTGTTGTTAGATTTAGAAAATCAATAAGAAACTATATTTAATAACTATACTTTGTTTTTCATTCTTCTCAGGAGCAATATATTTCACTCTATGGGGACAAGCAAGAAATATCCAAAATAAAAAAAAGTTTAAAAAAATCAGAACTTGGAACTGAAATATAAGGCCTAGAATATTTTTATCTGTCCTCATCAGATCCTGTATATACCATGGGTAGATATCTCTTGGGGTAACTGGAAAAGTGAGCTCACTCAAGTTGTTGTTTTGTTTTAGTTGCAGTGATGTTGGCAATGAGGACCAAGCAGCAAGCATCCAGTTCATAAGAGAATGGAGGGTCACCACCACTTTCGAGAGAGGCACACTGAGCGAGAGAGGCGATATTCAGCTGCTGCTGTCCATCTCGTCCTCGGGTAGCACCCTGCTCCTGGTGCAGTGAGTGAGAGTAATGATATAAAATACCAGAGCGATAGAGGCACATCATCTGAACAGAAAATGCAGGGTACTTCTTGGTCTTCTATACATTTACAGTGAATTGCTGTGTTAATTATAGCTACCACTGGACCTCAGCTGTATGGTTGAGGTCCAGAAATAGTTCTTGATTTATTTATAATAGCAAAATGCTTTTTTCATTTTTGTTGCATGTGGCTCACACGACACCTGAGTGTTCTGCTGTACCGGCCTGGAAATTCACTGTTAAAAAAAGTACCAGCTGCTTCACCTTTGAGGTGCTAAACTATATTACTCTGTTTTATAGAATGAAAAAGGAGGACATCTAGAGCTGCCCCTGTGATGGCAGAAATATTGATTTCTTCTCTTGGTGTTTTTAACTTAATAGAAAGCAGTGGGCAGCTGGTGAATTGGCCATTACAGCTTACAGTTTAAGCATTAATTCAAACTTCCAAACAAGGTTTAAAATGTATTTTCAGCAATAGGAATTGCAATATTTTGCACTTTTATGGTTGTTCATGTTTTGAAAATGTCTTCATTTGATGTGCACAAAAACATGTGACAGTGAGGAATACAATGAATTTAAAAATCCTAAAACTGTTTTCATGGCAGTAAAACAGGAAAGATGTATTTTAAAGGATTGCAATGCAAAAAAATCATTTAAAAATATATTATTTAGATGTTCTCAGTCATAATTTCAATACATTAATCAAGTCTTTCTTAGACATTTTAATTTCTAAGAGGCTTATTTCTGATTCAAGGGGCATTGGTGGTGTAGTAGCAACACCTTCGAGTAGCTATTCATTTTTAATTTGTACTTTTTGGAGGCATATGCTCATTTCTTGGTTTGTATCCTCAGCTTGATGTTGACTTGGTTCTTAACAGGATGTAGTCAGCTCAGGATCAGCTGATGGATGACCTCAACAGATCTGACACTGAGAACCATGCTCTGCTTTAAGCTAGCCTTCTCCTCGCCGGCTCACGCCTTGGTCATACATACTTCCATATCTTTTACAGAAAATTGCTGCTTGTCAACATTACGTCTGTCACAAAGCCATTCGCACTGGGTAGCACTGTCACAGTCTGGCTTTACTTTTGTGTTCCTGAGACCCCACTGCCAGTGCCCACTGCCTTCCTCATAACTGTACCGCTGATGCATTACCCTCAACAGGTGCTCTTTTCTGAAAGGATCACATAGGTATATTTAGATTTTGAAACTCGAGAGCAGTTCTCTGTGATTGGCTGTGTCAGCCACATGATAACCTGGGTAGAAACCGCAGCTGTGTGCTGTCGCCCAGCGTTTCTCTGGAGGGAAGCTGGGGAGGCTTTGGTGGCTTGGGAGACCAATAAACTTTAACATAACTGGTAAGCAAAGGAAAGGATACAAAAAACAACAAATATCCATGTTGTCTGCACCCTGCATGGCTTTCCATCTGCTTGGAGATCCATATTTTCCATCCTTGGCTGCCATCTGGATCCAAGAATACCCTGCTGAGGAATAAGGAGTGTGAACAATCTTTTACACATTGAAGGAGTAACCAAACAATCCAGAACTACAAGACTCTCCAAGTCACTTGAGACAAGGCCATCTTTTGGATGTATCTGAAATTTCAGCAGGAGTCTGAATCTTTTTGTTTTCTTTCCATAGTCTCTGAAGCTTTCTGGCTTTTTCATCCTTCTACCTCTATGATTCTGGCGATTTCTTTAGTTCTTTTGCAGAGAAAATATAGATATATTAATACAAAGGGAGAGCATCCATGTACTAAAAAAGGTAGTTAGTATGCAATCCTATATTTAACCTGCAGCCTCAGAAGGTATTGCATCTCCATTTGCTAAACAGAGTCAGCCAATCAGGCTGTGGCATTAGCTTACATGTCAAATAGCTGGAGCGCTGTTGGACAGCTGTCGCCAACCTTCAGCCAGGAGGCACAGTCCTTTGAACTGTGTTGTAGCACATAAGGGAGGAAGGGTGGCAGTCACATATTCAAAAATCAGATGCCTATTAAAATTAGTCAGTGTCTCACCTATTACAGTAAACTCTGCAGATCTCCCTGTTTAATTATTCATTGAATAAGTTGTAAAGTGTTTTACACATTGTGTTATTGTTTTGTTTAGGAATTGGGCAAATCACAGAGTTGGACTGTCAGTTTGAGGCCCTGTTGGATGGAAAGTGAAGCTTCCTTACTGTCAGAGATTACTGCGAGACACCTTTGCTGGTATGGCAAGGACATTGTTTAAACGCCAATATGCTGCTGTTATAGTTTATATATATATGTTTACATAAATATAACGTATACAAAAAGAGGAGGGTTGAAATATCCCTGGTGTAGCCGTCCTATCTTCTCTAAGTCCCATTATATCCCATTTAAAATTTTTGATTTTATTTTGAAAGAACACGTAGAACATTTATGTTTTACTACACTGTGGTGTTTTTTTTTTAAATTTATATATATACATATATATATTTCTCCCTCGGAGTAACGCATACCTGAAAATGTGATCTGTGTTTTGTGTAGAATCTCTCAAATCGTCTCAAAATGACAGAAATTGTAGAGGAATATGAAGAATATGAAGAATATGAGGAGGAGGAGGAGGAGGAGGAGGTTGTGGAAAGGGTAAGTGGATCCCTTTTTAATTGCACATGTAAATAAATCCTAAAGTACTCTTGTTGCATTTTTTATATTTTGGCTTTTGATCTGGATAATAGAACTTCAGCTGTGATATCATTTAATACATTTAAGTGTGGGATCTCCAAGTCCAGTGGAAGGCCCTATGAATAGTTTGGTTAGTGACGATACCTCTTACAGTCAGCAGTTCATGGAGGGAGACATACATGACTGCTGGTATATCCTGTTTCAGATGGACTCCTTCTGATGGCCTGGATTGCCCTTAACAGTCAATTATGGAAAAATAGTTCTATTAATTATATAATGTTGCATTTTATTTGTGTCCTTTTGGCATTGCAAATGCCTTTACTTGAGCCTTTGACATATGCCAGACAGCAACACATGTAAAGCAGATGTAATCGTACAAGTCTGACATGTAAAGTGACTTTTTTCCATAGATCCCAGCATTTGATTTCACTACACTGCTTGAGGAGGAATATATATTGCAATGATCTATTTGCACCTAAATCCCCATAGCGTCCCTCCTGTGTATGATAGACACGCAAAGATTGGATTACATGCAGTTTGGGGGTGTGCCAGTTTCTGGAAGTTACTATTTTCCCATGTGAAATATTTCTCCAGATTGAGTGCTCACATCCCCCATGATTTCATCACAGTTTTGCTGCTTTTAGAGTCCCTTTTGCATATGAATTATTGTCTTGTTCAGTGTCTCTGTGACAGTGTCTGATGGAAGAGTGAAAGCAGAAGGCTAACGTTTAATCTCATATTTCCTGGTGAACTAGGATTAAAGTTAGCCTGGTATTTGTTCAAACTTAATATTGCTGATATCTTATAGGGGAGTCTGAATGACTGCTCTTGGTTGTCAGAATATCCAAACCAAGCAAACATTTTTTTAAAAATCATTTAACTCCCATATAACATATCAACTGTTTCAAACAGATTTACTACCTTTTGTGAAGAGATGTAAATCGTTTGGGAGGTAGGAAAGATAATTACGCTCAAAATCAATACACTCTGATTTCACTAGAACTTTCATCTGTACTGCGGAGAAAAGATGCATTGTTTTCAATAAAATGTAAGATGGCTTCGTATTTAATTTACAGAATGGGGAGAAACATAGTGCTGTCCAGGTCAGACATAAAACATATGATTAGTTTAATACATAATACATAAACATTGAAAAACTCATTAGTTAAGTTATTTCTTTTCAAATTTCTTACTTGTTTCTATATCATAATAATAATAATAAACGCTAAAAAGTAAAAAAAAAAATTACTTCAATTCTCAGGTCATTAAGGAGCAAAGTGTACAGTTCTCTATCTGGCATTCAGGCAAATTTAGAAATGGACTTCTGGAGCACGTTGGCAGAGAGTGGAGGAAGGAGGAATGGGAGGGGAGAAAATTAGACGGGCCACTGTGCTGTAAATCAGCCCCTGATAGGCTGGAACAGGTTAATATCACAGTGCTAGAAATTCGCTTATGGGAGGTGGATGCGTGGAAGAATGTGGCCTGCAGACAAGGAGTGTTTTTGCATTGAACTGTAGGGATGCTTAGTTACAGTGGTTCATCTACACCTATGGTTCTCTCCTGTCTGAGAGATTCATATACTGAAGCCGCTTACGAATGTTGATAAAAACGATTGAGATGTTCTTTCTCAGCTCTGGCTTTTCTTTCATTTAACCTAGATTTTAAGGTCTCTTGTCTCTTAATGTTCAACCTTATGTTATGTAAACGCTCTTCATCCTAAGAAGAAGGAAGTTAGAAATTAGAAGTGCTATTCCTGGATGGGGATGTATGTGAGAGGCTGTCAGTGACTAAGTCGTCACTAGAAATTACATTAAAAAATTCACATTTGCATTTTTACAAACAGTTAAAAGAAAACCCTCTAAATTCTAAATTAACTGAGGTGAGTGGGACTTTTCTTTTATTTAGTGTATTTATATGTAAGCCTCAGAAACTAAATACAGCACCCCCGCATTATATTAAGTTGAAGGTAGAACGCTCTTTGGTGAGATATTTCAAAATCCGAGCTAACAGAATAAAAACATCCTGTATAAATTGATTTTGTTAGAGCTAAATTGTGGGGCTTTTTTCTTGTTTTTTTCTTGTTTTGTTGTTTGGCTGAATCAGTGCTTTAAACCCATAAGACCTATGTGTGAACAGCCGTGGAGATTACAAAGCTGTCCAAACAGCTTGTGTACTGTTGTGTCCTGTAGCAACTGATAACAAAAGCATTTGTGTATGAAATAACAAATAAGAATAGAACAGTTGTCATGTGAGTATGCAGTGTTTTTAGACTTGGTCAGACGATCAAAGATTCAGGCTGTTCGGGCTCACATAGAATATTAATGCTTCTTTATCCTCTGTTTAAAATAAGCTTAATTAGACAGTAGCCATACTATTTTCACCTTTGGAAATTTTGCCCCTCCTTTAGGTGACTCTATTTGAGTGGACCGGTGATAAGTAGGTTACACCAAAAATCCCCGATGACAACCTTCTCTGTTTCTACTTATTAGCCTGCCTGGGGGCATTTGCTAGAACAGCTGCTAACACGATACAGTGTAGAGTGATTTCTTACTCGTAGTGCTGAAAGTGGCAGTGGCAGTAATTGATGATTGCCAGAGCTGTGGAAAAATCACCCTCAATCCAAACAAATATTTTGCTGTTTCTCCCATAATCTGTCCTGGAAATTTTGAAAAACCAGAGTGTTTCCTATATTTGTAATATGTTGAGCAGATTTCAACGACGACTGTCACTGAGCACAAGACTCAGTTCTTACAGGTAAAACACCTCCTCCCAGGCACAACGGTTCAAGCAGGGCAGGAGACCCTTGTCTCCCATGGCTTATGGTGCATCCCCCTTCTTTCCTGCATGTGTATATAGAGTATAGATAATGTGCTGTCTTGTTTGGCTTTGGCAGGTTTTTAGAGCTAAATAATAAGTTAAATATGTTAAGATTCAGCATTTTTACTAAGACAACACATGGCTTTTGTAATTTGGTTTCCTGCAGCTTTGCTGGCCAACAAGTATAATATGGTAGTGTAACCTTTGTGGATATGTGCTGCTCAATGTTGTGTTGCATGCAAGTCATTTAAAATGTAGGTGTAAGTGCTTGCCTTGGGTTTGTCTTTCATTCATCTACATTTCAGCAGGCGTAACCTTAGTATACAAAATCTCCATTGTCCTTCCAAATAGAATAAATCATTGATGATTAAATAATTTCACTAACTCGAGGTGAGTAATTAGAGCAGTGGGAATCCTGCTTCATATTGAAAATATCAGCTCATTGTCCAGTCGACACATTTGCATTAAAGTGTAATAAAATCTCTAAAAGTCTGCTTTTTGAAAGTATCACCAGTCCTTTTGCTTTCCCTGTCGTTTTCCTTCCTGGCAATTCCCCCTACCTTAATCAATAAAACGAGATCCATGTGTTAGTTTGGTCGTTAATTGTATTCTTCTGTCCTCTCCCAGTCTGGCTTGCCCACCAGGAAAGTAAGGAAGAAGGTCAAGGTGGATACTTCCAAGTTCATGACTCCATACCTGGCCCATAGCCAGAAGATGCTGGAGCAGTTCAGCCACGTAAGAAACAAGTTTGAGTTTTTATTTGCATGTATATGTACACATTTATTTGACTTTTTACTTGCTTTTACTTGTTGGTTGTTTTCCTGCTTTGTATGACATTAATTACTTACTTAAATTTTATGACCGTTGTCCCTGACAGAATAAGTATCGCCAGGCTTATGAAATGTCCAAAGGGACACCTCCTGCCATCGTTACTGATACGCCTGAAATGATTCGTATCAGGAAGGCCCAGGAGCAGCTTAGCGAGGTACTCTTTAAGATATGATGAACACAAAAGACACTTATTGGTTATTGAAAGGCACATTTAAGACTAGCAGATTCAGAACAAATTTTCTATGATCTATATTTGACTATAAAACATAAAAATATGCCTCTGGTCTCAAATATGATTGGATCTTGCTTTACTGAGGAATAATTTGAAATAACACGCATTATCTTCAGGTTAAATACCGTATGGAGGGAAACAAAGCTCGGACAACCAGCTTGTACGACGGTGAAGCAAGAGAGATTGCCCACGTCAAGCATGTATCTGAGCTGATCAGCAAGGTAAGTTACCCAAATCTCCCAACATACAAAGAGAATGAATAAATATGACGTTAATGCTGATTGTATAACACAAATGCTGTTGTTATCTCTTATAGGTTCTGTACAGACAGAAGTGGGATGAGACCAAGGACAGGTACCTGCTGCCTCCTGATGCTCCTGAGCTGGTTCAGGCTGTGAAGAATGCTGCTAACTACAGCAAAGTAAGTCCAGTGTAGCATTCAAGGGCTGACTTTTAAGTCCAAAGTTTTTAAAAAAATTCCAAATTACATAATTGCATAATTTAACAATTCTATAATATCTGTTAAAATGTTTTATATTCACGTAGTAAGTGATAACGTTACACCTTGTTCAGAAACTTTATACCGAGGCCTGGGATGAAGATAAGACCATGTACTACCCCTACAGTGACAGTCCTGAGCTCCGTAGGGTGGCCAAGGCTCAGGAGGTCCTTAGTGATGTAAGTAAAATTTATTATCTATATCTGTCGTGTTATTCAGATTTTCAATGTGCGTTTGTGGTTATTATATCTGCAAAAAACTAAAACAAAAAAACCACTGTATTGAGCCAGCCTCTGCTTTAATGTGTCTGTTTTGATATGTCTTATAATATGATATATACTATATTATAAGTTGTTGATTCTTCAAATCTATACATTTTAACTATCTCTGCATCATTAAATTGCTTTTTGAAAGAACAAAAACATTTTATACAGACAAATAAAATTACGCAAATTATAACATAGAATTACACCACCTAGAGCTTTCTATTTTAGACAGTTACTAGTGTTATTTCTTGTAGTGTTACAAGACAATTGACAATTACCACACTGTTAATTACAAAAAACGTATGGTGTGTGTAAAGATGTTGAAATGTTCCTCTCAGTGTCCACTTGTTTGTGCTGACTCGGATGTGTCATACATCACAGTTTAACTTACATTTAGGACAGTTTACAATTAGAGCCCAACTGATATGAGATATACAGAAGAGGACTAGGGTCACTGGGGAAAAAAGTGGGCACATCTTTTTTTTTTTCTTTTCCAGAATTCTGAGGAAAATGTCAGAATTCTGAGATTAACATCAGAATTCTGACTTTTTTTTCTCAGAATTCTGAATATTTTCTCAGAATTTTGACTTTTTTCTTGGAATTCTAACTTTTTTCTCAGAATTTTTTTTCTTAGAATTCTGACTTTTTTCTTAGAATTCTGAGATTAGTCAGAATTCTGATTTTTTTTTCCTCAGAATTCTGACTTTTTTCTCGGAATTCGGACTTTTTTCTCGGAATTCTGAGATTAAAGTCAGAATTCTGAGATTAGTCAGAATTCTAACTTTTTTCTCAGAATTATTTTTTCTTAGAATTCTGACTTTTTTCTTAGAATTCTGAGATTAGTCAGAATTCTGTTTTTTCCCCCTCAGAATTCTGACTTTTTTCTCAGAATCTTGACTTTTTTTCTTAGAATTCTGACTTTTTTCACAGAATTCTGACTTTTCTCTTAGAATTCTGACTTTAATCTCAGAATTCGGAGTTTTTTCTCAGAATTCCAACTTTAATCTCAGAATTCTAGAAAAGAAGAAAAAAAGACATGCCCGCTTTTTCCCCCCCCGGTGGCCCTAATCCTCTTCCGTACAGATAGGATCACAAAGTATCAATCTGATACTTTTTGACCTTATCCTCTATCAGTGATGATGATACTTGGTGATGACCAAGATTTAAGAATCGGCCAGTATGTTTTTTTTTCAGACACAGGAAAAAAATTTCTCCAACATTCGTTGTGTGTTGTTACATATGAGTTGTTATTAAGATAATATGTGACTGCAGTTTAAAGATAATAATATTTTAGTGCCATGACAAGTCGCGTAACAAAACCTTACGCTCTGCTCAGATCAGCTGGTTGGTGTGATTGTGCTGTTCCAAACACGTTGCTAACAAGGAAGTTGCAGAGCGCCCTCTGGTGATAAAATAGAAAAGACTCAAAATTCGTAATATCGTTGGAGGGTGTTTCCTCCATCTCTTAATTTGATTATATCGGTGAATACCTAATATTGAAAATTATATATCGTGCATGGTGCTATATCAGGTCAAGCTCTTATTACAGCTGTTATCTGTACGTCTCCTTCCTCTTGGGTTCTGTGTTGTTAAACTTTTTTCCCGATGCATGGAAATTACCAGTCTATTTAGGTAGAGGCAAACTGTGCATGAAAGTCAGGTATTGATGTTGACGAATTGAGCGTCTTAGTAAATGTTAACTCCTGTTGTGATTGACAGGTTCACTATAAGAAGGGCCACCATGAGCGCAAGGCTAAGTATACTTCCTTGCCTGATCCTCCTGAATTGGAGCTGGCCAAGAGAGTGTCCCAACAGCGCAGTGATGTAAGTAACAATTTTAAACCAAACAAAAACCAATATGACTGAGGTAGATATACTGATGAATTTTTCTTGTCATTAAGCTATAAATATACATAGATCAGATATTTAAGTCCACAAACTCTTACTGAAAGCAATGTTCAGTGCTTTCAGTTAATAAGAGTAGAGGAGTATGCACTACAGACAGTGAGCAGTGATTGGGGCAGTGCAGTTTTAGTTTAGATCAAAATCCAAAATACCATAAATTCAATATGAGACCAGTACACAATTATTTAATCCATTGTATAGTCTATCCATCTATCTGTATAGTGCATCTGTTTTCGCTAGACTCATCAACTTTTCTAGGATTAACAGTGTTCATCCCCTAACTAGACATGGGAGTAATAAATATCTTTGCTTATTTTAGAGTCAGAAAACTGGGCCTTGCACAGTGTAAGCACTGAAGCAGGAGCCCCAGACACCAACCAACCCTGAGAAAGGGATCAGTCCACCTGCTCTCTGATATTAGTAGCAACACTAAGCTGGGTGGGAGAGGCTAACAATGACAGGAATTCCAATCATTCCTAATGTGTTTATATAAACATATGAGATTTATTCATTTGTCCTTTAATAAAAAAAAAACCTTCTTATGTTAATTGCCATCTTTTCCTCACAGCTTAAGTACAAGGAAGATTACAATAAAAATGTAAAGGGTCAGTGGTGTGAGACTCCTTACTTCGACGTGGCGACTGCCAGGGTGGCAATGGAGAACCTCAGCGACGTAAGAATTCACTATTTAAAGGAAAGGATTTCAGATTTCTGCTTTTCTTTGTCCTTTTTCTGTACATAACTGTTGTGTGTTTTCCTTTCAGAGAAGATACACGCAACATTATGAGGATACAAAAGACCAAATTTATTTCATGCAAACAGAAACACCCACTTATGATGCAAACAAGAAGGCTCGTATTGCTGCTAGTGAGGTAAGCGCGAAAACACGCACAAACACAAAGGTAACACAGTATTTTTATAGGCCCGATCTCATGCGGAAGACACGACAGAGAGTTGACCCATGTCTCAGAGCAGTGTGTGAGTCAAGAGACTCAGTCCACTCTGACGCAGGGATACACTGTTTTGTGCCCACACTGCATGACTGAGAGATCCACATTTGGTTTACTGTCACCATGCACATTACTTTACTAGCACGCAGGAATAAAATGCGAGTCTGTGTGACAAAGCTTTTCAGTTGCTCTGCACCTCATAGCCACCCACACGTTCACACACAGGGGAAACATGCATCGTTTTCAAGAAATGCGAAAGACACACTTCTTAGCCGGCCAACCAACTGTGCCATCATTTTGAACCATGTGAACACACCTCATTATCACACTTTCCTGTCTTTTTTTACTCACAGTGATCTGTTTCTGTCTTTAGGTCCAATACAAGAAGGAGTATGAGAAGAAAAAAGCACAGTCTGACTACAACACGCTCCCCGCCACAGAGAATCCTCTATTGAGGCAGCTCAGATATGCTGGCACTATCCTCAGTGATGTAGGTGTTTAAAAAGCCCTGTGCAGAAAGTTTATTTTTCTTCTGTGACAAAAGATAGACCTTTTGCCTTTTCAGGAAAACTAAATTATAAAATCTTAGGCTGTTGTTTAATTATTGCTTAAATTACCGGGCCAATTGCCCTGTTATTGTTGGGATAGAGTCCAGCCCCTCCCCACGACCCTGAATTGGATGAGTGGAAGTGAAATACATAGTGTTTGCTTGTTGTTTGCAATTACTCTCCTGTAGTTTTTCCTGTACCACAAGTATGTATGTAGCTGCTCATATATTTTTTATTGTTGTTTGACTTTGTTTTGTTTTTGCCATTTCCTTTCCAGAAAGTATATAAGGCTAGCTATGAGAAATCCAGGGGTTTCAGCATCAACTACTGTGACACGCCCAAGTTTCAGATGGACTCAGTACTTAAGCAGTTCTCTGATGTAAGAGAGCTCGTTGAGTTAAAATTTCTTTGAATATGAACCACTTATGTTTCTCTTTTAACACACGTTTTGATTTTCTTTTAGGCACGTTACAAAAATAAGTATGAAAATGAGGTGAAGGGCCACTACATTGGAAGCTATGAGGACCTTTATATGCTTCACTGCCAGAAAGTTGAGGAAATGAAAAATGAGGTTTGTGCATTAAAAAATTTGAGCATGTATTAATATATTCCTCATCAAGTCTTTCCTCATAACACAATATTTACTTTTTGTATTTCACAGCAACTATATAAATCTGATTATGAAGACATTAAAACTAGATGCTTCTTTCCTCAAACAATTACGCCTGAATACGAAGCTGGGAAGAAACTTCATCAATGCAACGATGTGAGTAGTCGCTGATTATAAAACTGTTCTTTGCAATAAAATGGATCCAGGTTCTTTTTGGATTTCTTATATGTATATGGACAATTATTATTTTTGTTTTGATCCTTTGGTTTTCAGAAAGTTTACCGGCAACATCCAGACACAGTGAAATTTACACAAGTGGTGGATTCACCTGTTCAAGTTCAAGCCGCCATCAACGCCAAACAGCTAAGTGACGTATGTACCCTTTTTGGACCACTTCCTCTTGGTGCTAATGTAGGAAAGTCTAGAATTTAAACTGGTACAGTAAAGCTCACAAACACGCACTGAACATTTAGGTGATACCTGCATATAATAGTAACATTAATGTTTATTTTCTCGGTGTCCATTTATGGCCTGGAATTCTTGCAATCATCAGCTTGTGTCAATCCAGTTCTCCTAGATATGCAGATCGCCTTTAAATTTGCTCAATCATCTATGAAGCCCAGCTGTCTTTCTATGGGCGCCATGGAAACTGGAGAGCCATTTCTCTGTAGTATAAATAGAAACAAGCATTCAGTTGGCCCAGAATAAACCCTGTGATCAGACAGGGGTTGGGGAGGTGGAGAAAGCAACTGTCACCATCTCTGAGCCCTGATAGCACACTACTGCCCTCCAGTGACAGAAAGTCAAATAACAGCTTATCAGAAAATATACCCTGAGCAGTACTGACACAATAATATTACCATTTTGTTCTTCTGCAGTTAAACTACAAGGCAAAGTACGAGGAAATAAAAATGAAGAACAGTCTACCCCCAGACTACCCCTTCTTCATCCAGTCCAGAGTTAATGCTTTTAACCTCAGTGATGTAAGTAACTGCGATTTTTGCATATCTCTAAAATTTAACTCGAATCAGCTTTGATTTCTCATACTGTCGATTTCGATTTCCTGAATTGCACACTTTCTTCTTGCAGAACTGCTATAAGTATGATTGGGAGAAAACCAAAGCGAAAAAGTTTGAGATCAAAGGGGATACCATCTCAATCCTTGCTGCCCGTGCTCACACAAACGCCATCAGTGATGTAAGTATCCTACTTCAACAACTGCTTCAACAGATAAATTACCTGCAGTACCTGTTATGTATTCTAATCCATGATAAATTCTGTTCATTACTAGGTTAAATATAAAAAGGAGTATGAGAAGAACAAGGGAAAGATGGTTGGAGCCCTCAGTATTAACGACGATCCGAAGATGCTGCACTCTGTCCATGTGGCCAAAATCCAGAGTGATGTAAGTTATTAGTTGATGTCATATTTTTAATAAATATTAATTTATGGGGGTTAAAAAGAAGGGCAATCTCTTGTTAATATCTTCACAGCGTGAATACAAAAAAGACTATGAAAAAGTAAAGACCAAGTATCATACACCACTGGATATGTTGTCAGTCACCTTGGCTAAGAAATCCCAGGCAATTTCCAGCATGGCTGGTTACAGGAGCATCAGCACCAACTATTTCCTTCCACCTGACAGCGTCCTGCTGGATCTGGCCAAGAAAGCCAACGTTATCCAGAGTGATGTAAGTCCAAACAGACTTTAGAGACTCCAACTGCTCAGTTTTGCTAAAGTTCTGCTTTTTTCATCATAATATGAAAACATGTCCTGATGTGCTATTGTGGGCTTAAATATTCATCAACATTTGTTTTGGTTTTGTGTGTTTCTCTGCACCAAAGAATGAGTATAAGGCTGACTACAACAGCTACACCAAAGGTACTCCATGGGTCCCATATGGCTCATTGGAAGTGGAAAAGGCTAAGAAAGCTGCAGAGATCCTCAATGAGGTATGTGTGCAACATGGCTTCTTTACATCTGCTCTCATGGTAATAACAAAATGCATATTTCAGAGCTGATAGGTCATTAAAATAATAATATTTATTTACTCTTTTCCTTCAGAAAAAATACAGAACACACCCAGACAAGATCCCCTTCACATCTATCGACGACCACCCCATCATGATGCAGGCCAAAGTCAACCAGCTTCAGAGGAGCGATGTGAGTCAAGTGTCACTGTTCATACTGGAGAAAGAATTCCTTCTGCATTTTTCCAAGATCCCTTTTAGGAAGATTCTTGTTTGCTCTTACTTTCTTTTCATTTCTGCTCTGTTACATTTATTCTTTTATAGCTGTTCTACAAGCGAGGTCTAGAGGAGATCCATCAGAAGTACTCTCTGCCCCCGGATGTCCCAGAGTTCCTTCAGGCCAAGTGCAATGCCTACAACATCAGCAAGGTGACGAATGCACATAAAAAAAGCAAAATAAATAAAATAGTTTTTCAACTCACTTTTAAAACGTATATAACTGTATATCACCACAGTATGTGTGTGCATCTGTTCATGTTTGCGTAAAGCTATAATGGATACATGCCTTAAACATTGTTTATATGTTTTATGTGATTTCAGAATTACTACAAGTTTGCTTGGCAGGAGCTGATTGCTAAGGGTTATGACCTGAAGCCTGATGCCATCCCTATTGTTGCTGCCAAAGCTGCCAGACATGCTGCCAGTGATGTAAGTTTTCTGAAAGACCAAATTTGCTGCACTTTTTAAATAATTGTTACATATAAAAAACTAGAGAAGCTCCATGTGCTTTAACTCCTAGGTCCAGTACAAAAAGGCTTATGAGAAGGCGAGAGGCCACCACGTTGGCTTCCGCAGCCTCCAGGACGATCCTCTGCTGGTTCACTACATGGAGGTGGCCAGAATGCAGAGTGACAAGAACTACAAGAAGGACTACCACAAGGCCAAGCTGAAGTATCACACCCCAGTGGACATGCTCAGTGTGGTTCAGGCTAAACATGCTTCAGCAGTGCAGACCTACATTGGCTACAAGCAGCACCACCATAAATACTTTCTTCTCCCTGATGCTATGGGTCTGCAACTTGCTCGCACCATGAACTACAATTCCAGCGATGTATGTTATTAACAATGCTTGTGACTTAATGGCAATATAAACCGTATGGACTCTCTAAAAATGGTATTTGGTCTGACAATAGTTTCTTGTTTTCTGGGTTTTTTTCTATTTCTCAGCACAACTACAAGATGGATTATGAGACCTCGGTCAAGGGTATTGGCTGGGTTCCAATTGGTTCTCTAGAGGTTGAAAAAGCCAAAACGGCAGCAGCAGCTCTGAATGAGAAAAAGTACAGACAGCACCCTCAAACCATCAAGTTCACCAGTGCTACTGACTCCATGAGCATGGAGCTGGCTAAGACCAATGCTAAGATCATGAATGTGGTGAGAAGGACAAAACAAAATAATGACTTATGCTACATATCTAAAATTTAGTCCTTTTCAGAGAAGAAATTAATTCTTGCCTTCACTGTAATTACACAGAAAGAGTACAAAGCCAGCGGAGAGAAGTTCATGCACACTTACAATCTCCCTCCTGATGCCCCCCAATTTCTGCAAGCCAGATACAATGCTGCCAACATCAGCCAGGTTAGCTGCAGATTGATTTAAGCACATATGAAACATACAAAGAAATTTAATTGTGAATGTTTTTGTAACAATATTGCTGATTATCTTTTTGTTTAGAATTATTACACTTATTCTCACCGCCAAGATCTGCTCAAAGGACATCACATGAAAGAGGATTCCATTCCCATCGTAGCAGCCAAAACTTCAAGAAACATTGCCAGCAATGTAAGCTGGAATTATGCTTTTCATAATAATTTTTAATGTTAATGCATTTAATAATATTACTTATATTGCATTTTATTTAATACAGTACAAGTATAAGCTGGCCTATGAGAAAGAAAAGGGCCACCACGTTGGCTTCCGCAGCCTCCAGGATGATCCTCTGCTGGTTCACTATATGGAGTTGGCAAAGATGCAGAGTGACAAGAACTACAAGAAGGACTACCACAAGGCCAAGCTGAAGTATCACACCCCAGTGGACATGCTCAGTGTGGCTCATGCCAAGCAGGCTTCTGCTGTTCAGACAATGGCTGGATACAAGAAGATCCCCCACAGCTTCTTGCTTCTTCCTGACAACATGCACCTGCGACTGTGTCGCAACATGATGGAGATTCAGAGTGACGTGTGTATTCTTTTCATCTTATTATCTTTATATATTGGTCTCATTCTGGAACAACATATATAGCATTACATATATGTATATATTTGATTATGACCTTTGATTAATTTAGATTTTCTCTAAATACCCACAGAATGTCTACAAGTCAGATTACAACAGCTACTCTAAAGGTATAGGATGGGTCCCTATTGGTTCTCTGGATGTTGAAAAAGCCAAAACCGCTAAAGCTGCACTGGATGAAAGAAATTACCGCCAGCACCCCAGTAATTTCAAATATACAAGCAAGACCGATGCCATGAACATGACTCTGGCTATGGCCAACACTAAACAGATGGACATCGTAAGAATCCCTTTTCTTAACAGAAGATACTTATGTAGAGATTCTTTAAACATTCACCGTTGTTTCTTTTTTCTGACTAGACTACATACAAAGCTTCTGGAGAGAAGTTCATGCACACCTACCATCTGCCATCTGACTGCCCCGAGTTTCTCCAGGCTAAGTTTAATGCCCAGACTATTAGCGAGGTTAGAGCACAAATTATTTAACTGAATATGCAAGTTGAAGCAATAGCAATTTCCTGAGGTTCAAGGTGTATATGAGCATAGTTGTGCAAAAAGTTGTTGTAACACTTTGCTGTTTATTTGCAGAGTCATTACAGGCACAAGTGGGTGGAAGACATTGCCAAGGGATATGACATGAAGCCTGATGCTATTCCCATCCTGCATGCCAAGCACGGCAGGCATATTGCCAGCAATGTATGTAATAAATGCATGTAATAAATTTAACTAAATTTAACTGTAAAAAAGAAAGAATCAACACATCACTTTTTCTTTTCTTTTTTTCTTTAGGTCCAGTACAAAAAAGATTATGAGAAGGCGAGAGGTCACCATGTTGGCTTCCGCAGCCTCCAGGACGATCCTCTGCTGGTTCACTACATGGAGGTGGCCAGAATGCAGAGTGACAAGAACTACAAGAAGGACTACCA